GTTTGGAGAGAATAAAAAAATAAAATAAAGTACATCGTGATATTCTGACATAATTTGGATCTATCTTGACTGGGTTATGAATTTTTTGATTTTACTCAAAAATAGGCAAAAATGGGATATTTCACCTAATGTACGTGTTGACTAGGTTTTTGAAACTTTGAAACATAAATGGTGCCACGAGATTCAACACAGTCGACAACCTATGTTTTCATGCATTTCTGACAGTATAAACCTAATGACAGAGAAGTCCTAAGGCTTCGGGAAAAAGGTCCGTAGCGCCAGAACCAAGCAAAACCCGACTGTAGATCTTACTTTGTAAAGGACACTTCGGACTATCTATCTACGAAAAAGAACGGTAGATTACTATGTTGGTTTCTAGAAATCCGAGCCAGTTTTCCAAAGATCTTGTAGAAAACCGCTCTTCGGAATGTTTTCAAGAGACGATTTTACTTGTGAAAATATAGCTTAAACTATCTTCTTTCAATTGCTGAAGATTGTAGGTTTCTATCATTTTTCTATCAAAAGTTATTTAAAAGAACAGACGAGGCCACTGTTTCTTTGAATGGACAATAGAACTTATCTGTCCCAGTATTTATTTATACTCACTACTGATCGATAAACCTGAATTTTATTTTTTAGCATTTATGAATAGTACATTGTTTGTCTCCTCTTTTTTGTTTTTTGATTGATATATTTCAGCGTTATGGAAGTATTTTCAGTGCTCTCAAGGTGTTACGATTGTTACGTTTGGGACGTGTATTTAGAAAATTAGACAATTATCTTGAATATGGTGCAGCAGTGCTGCTTCTTCTTATTTGTGTTTTCGTTCTTGTTGCTCATTGGTCAGTAAACTTCTCCGTTTGCTTAAAGTTAATAGAAACATATTAATCTTTTCATCTTTAGGTTTGCGTGTGTTTGGTATACAATTGGATTTCGAGAAGGCCGTGGTGGTACTGGGAAGCGAGTATGTTTTTTCGCAAAAAAATCTTATTAGACGAGAATCGCTAAAAATGTGGGACTAATGAGCATTAAGCAGTCTAATGATTACCTTACTCTTTTCTATCACCTAATATGCTAATACACTACACAAAAACATAATAATTTTATTCTTAAACTTTTTGAAGATGGAATATAGTTGGTTAGTAAAAATGGATAGAGAATTGCAACACCACTGTATTGACTCTTACGGAAATTTGTCATTATACGAGTCAAACGGTACATGTCGTAAAGCAGCTTATGTAACAGCATTATATTATACCATGAGTTCGTTGACAAGTATTGGTTTTGGTAATGTCGCAGCAAATTCGGATGCTGAAAAGATATTTACTTGTGTAATGATGTTGATTGGTTCACTATTATATGCAACAATCTTTGGTAATGTCACTACCATATTTACACAAATGTATTCCGCAACTGCCAGATACCATGAAATGTTGAGTAGGTCAGTATTATTAGTCAATTATAATATCAGATTCGTGATTACACCGCAAGGCTATCTTGTTTAGTATTCGTGAATTTATGAGATTGCATGGTATGCCAAATCAGTTAAATGAACGCATAATGGATTATGTTGTTTCAACGTGGGCTATGACAAAAGGCATTGACGCTACCAAAGTACGTAAACATTGTTGTCTTTAATGTTATGATCAAGAATGAAGATAAGAGTGTGTACTCACAAATTTCTGCCAGAAGAGACAGATTTCAAAAAATTATTAAGAGTTTTTTTGCTTTTAGGTTTTAAATTATTGTCCAAAAGATATGCGTGCCGATATTTGCGTGCATATGAATCGTAATGTTTTTAACGAACATCCCGCATTCCGTACGTACTGATAATACTGTAAATTATTCACTTACTACATGTTTAACAAAGAAACGAAATTTTTTTTCTACTGTAGGTTTGGCTAGTGATGGTTGTCTACGAGCATTAGCCGTTCATTTTCATATGTAAGTTTTTGTGATACGGATAGATAGTGCCAACTATATTTAACTTTTATTGTTTCAGTAATCATAGTGCTCCAGGTGACATGCTGTATCATAGCGGTGAAAGCCTAGACATGTTGTGTTTTATTGTATCTGGTTCATTAGAAGTAATACAAGATGATGAAGTTCTTGCAATTTTAAGTCAGTCATCATTTCTACCTATATATGTCTTGCACTACTCCTGCTATCTTATTTTTTTCTAGGTACTGGAGATGTGTTTGGTGATGATTTCTGGAGTAAACATCGTGATAGTGTTGGACAATCAGCAGCAAATGTTCGCGCTCTCACTTATTGTAATTTACATCAAATACGACGAGAACGTTTACTGGAAGTGTTGGACTTTTATCACCCGTTCAGCATCTCATTTGCTAGAAACATGATACTTACATACAATTTACGACATAGAGTAAGTGCAATATTGTAGTTTCCCTGAAACTATCCATATATTCCATGATTCTAAGCAAAGCTAATTCCTGCTAAAACGATATAACAACGATACATTATAACGGCAGGATGCCACCAGATACAATCGTGCAATAAATTAGTTCAACCTTATTATTGGACATCTGCCGTTCTTAATATTAGATAATAAGTGGAATCAGCAACTAGTTGCCCCTTTTTCATCTTTTAGGTTGTATTTCGTAAAATTGCCGATGTCAAACGTGAACGTGAATTAGCTGAAACACGAAAAAACGAACCGTTTGATCAAATTGGTTCTGATCATCCTGTTCGAAAATTAATATCCAAATTTCGAAAAATCTCACAAGAAAATCGTGTACCTAACTCAACAACATTAAACGATGTTGAGACAGGCGGTACACCGTCGCCAAATACAGCAAATGATCACAAATCTTCGACTATTCCATCTCAGCTGACACAACCAGTAGCAACAGCAGCGAAAACAACAAACAAATTGGAAACGATTTCCGAAAAAATAGAAACACAAGAAGTACAAAATTCGGGGACTGTTGTTATAAATGAACTAAAGTCTACTCCTCTTTCTCACGCTCCGCTACCACCACCGCTACAACAGCAAAAAACGAGCAAATGGAAATGGTTGAAAGCTGGTGTGACGGAGAATGAGACTATATCCCATAGTACAACAGTGAAAACTAATGGTGCTAACAACAACAATATAAATTCAACACTAACTGACATTGGTGATAAAGCGACAGTCATTTTTCCACAAAAAGTAAATTCAACAAATCCATTCGACAATATTATAGGGGACGAACTACCATCTAAAAGTGCTAACAGACAGTCCATTCCGTTAAGTTTATTTATACCACGAATGGCAAAAGATAAAACCGATACATCCGATAATGTAGAAACGACTGAAGATATTGTAAGTACTATTTGACCCATACTATGGTTGAGGTATCACATAGTCTTGATTTCTGTAAGATCTTGGTTTCAATGCATGTCTATATTTTTATTTCCTACGTATTTAGAAATCTTCACCGGTGCCTGAAACTTCCGATTCACCGAGAGAAATGACGAATCGTCAATCTGTTAGTGGCTCAATTGATAGTCAAGTGTTGTCGTATTTAGTCGAAATTAAAAGTGATTTACAAAATGAAGTACAATCGTTGAGTAAACGTATGAGTCATATCGACGAACAAATAAATTTGATATTCAATTTTTTAATGCCAACAAACAATTCAAATATGTTAGCAGTTCAATATTCATCATCGACATCACCAACAACAACTACAAAGACTACTACAATATCTACTTCACCATTATTTGAATCGGCACCATCATTTGAATCGGCACCATCATTTTTTTCCGATTTATCTTCGAAAACTCTGTTCGATACGCCTATTAATAGTGATGCAATAGGTGGTAATGATAATGTTGAGAAGTCAAGAATGTTCCATCGTAATAGTGACCAATTATCATTAACACCCATACGTCAACTAAGTGGTTATGATAATAGTACGTTAAATATTCCAAGGTATAGTCAAGTGAGTTCCTGTGGTAGTTATGTATCTGTCCCATCCCAAAGAAGTTCTATATCGAATAAAATAGCACCAGCTCCATTTGACACTAAATCTTCGACGGAAAAACAACCATTGAGTACAAAATTTCGGCCAATAGCAAATGTTCGTAATAACCCCGGCCGTTCACCAATTCCAAAAGCACGGTCATATCATCATTCGAAGACAAAATCAAAACAACAATCAGCAGTACCGATCAACACAGTGGAGATGAAACATTCGACAGTTATCGATTTTGAAAATCGAGAAGAACAATCGGTACTTACATCTAGCTTTAATTCCGATATTGCAACAAGTAAAACGACACCGTTGTTGAACACACTTAGTACATCGCTAAGCGGACAATATAATCGAAAAGAAAAACAAAATTTATTTCGTCGTTTTATTGATCAAAGAACCGGAAAAATTTCTCAAGATGACGACGAGGATGAACGATCAGATACAGACGATTATAAACCGTTAACCAAAGATCAAGATATTAATGATCTTACAATTCTATAGCAAATATGTTTTGTATACGTATGCGTGCGTCTGTCCGTGTGATAAATTTGTTATTAGGTCTGTTTTTCTACTATATTGTTATGCCGGTGCATTTTTCTGCAACTTACGTTGTTTTCTAGATTATTTTTAATAAAAAAAATTAAAGATATCTCAGAAAATTATAATTAGCAAAACTATATAAAACAATCCACTTACTTATACACACTTTGTAGCAATCGTATAGTGGTAAAAATTTTGTCGAATATTTTTGTTAGATTTTCATTCCAATGTACATTACATGGTTTGAAGACTCGTAGCAAAGATCTAAAAACACAATATAGAAGAATAAACGAAATAAGTATGGATCCGTACATGTTTGTTTCTCTAGACTACCTCCTTGTCATATCTGAGAAACATACCAAATAATAAATAATGTTAATATAACTTTGTTGAAACGCTGAAGGCCAAAGGAAAAATATTTTGTCAAAAAAGTGTAATAGAGAAAATTTTAGTTGTTGAAGTTCTGAACCTATTTTAGCGACATCCACTAGCTAACAATAGGTTTAGATAGAATGCGGACTCCACCTGCAATATGCTAGGATAAACATGTTACCGAAAAAGCGTCAGCTTTTTGACGCCTTTTTTAACATGTGAGAGTCACGAAGTTATAATTAGTTAAAATTAGAGCTGCAACCGTTCAATGTTCCTTTCTGGCGTTTTCTTTGAACGTGAACGCGGGTGTTCTGATGAACGTGATCTTTACTTTATATGAACGGTGTTGATCTTGTGTGGAATAAATAATATTGCAAAGCGTTACATAGCTATTTCAGCTAGTAGTATACTAAGTGAAACATTACCAGTTATATTTAGTGAAAAATCAACGCTCATTTGCTCCGAAATGGGTTACGATAAGAGAAAAGTATATAGTTACGGAAGTGGTTTGGGCCAAGGAACTTCGGTTCCATTACAGGAAAAACTCGTCTCCTGGTCAGAAAATTGGCGGTCTGTTTTTGGAAGAATCAATACCTTCATCAAAGAATCAATGGCTATCCGTTTTACATTGCAATAATCTGGTAACTGCCCTGAGCAGACCATCTGATCATTTACTAGAGTTCTATGGATCACGTAAGACCAAGCAAAAATATATATGTTCTTAGTACAATGCCAGAACAGAATTTTCTATTTACTTCAGACAATATGAACATCGTTCGTATAAAAAAGCTCACGTTCACCAGTGCTGTAGCGTTCACGTTCAAGGAACGAAACATGAACTTTTACAGGCTTAGTTATAATTCTAATTCGTTGATCAGTCCTATTTTCCTCGAGGAGCATAATTAAATAGACGCAATGTATTTATCTAACAAAAAAATAGAAAATTTTAATTCATACAATAGTAGCCGTAGTACACTACGAAACTATGCTGATAGAGTACAAAGAACCAAAAACATTTAAAAATTTAAAAGTTTAAGAAAAATTCAATTAGAACGAAAATAAGACGAACTTGAGTTGTGTAGTATACGTATGAATGTAACTGTATAGCCATTGTAACGTGGCTATCCAAAATAAGAATTGAGATAACTTCTGCTCATCAATTTTCAAGTGTTTTTTCAATAATTATTTCTTTTATTTCAATTTCTATGTCCACAAAATTGTATTATACGTATTCACACAGAAATATTAAAGTTTGCATCTACTGTGATTGTCGCAAAGTCCCTTCCTTAATGTCCAAAAATTAGAAACGTCTTGACGGTTAAGCACTTTTTTCTTTATTAGTTTTTAAGTGTTAACTCATTCGGTGTCATCAATTTATGGAGAACACCGGTTTTTTTTGTAAAGAGACATAAAAGTTTACAACCTCACTCCTCACTAAGTATAAACTTGAAACAAATTTTGTGGATAAGAAAAAGAACTTGTCAAAAATACTTTACTTTATCCTAACCAAAAAGTTGTTTCTTTATGCGTTTAAATAAAATAAGACCAAAGATAAAAGCAAAAAAGATTTTCACTCTAAATATAGAGCATCATCTTTAATTTTATAATCACTCGACTGACTAATCATTTAATGACTATACGTCACTTTAGCATTAAAAAAAGCAACGATCAGTTGACATATCGTTTCCAAATTTTCTTATTTGCAACTATCATTTGTATCAATATAAGATTTTTTCATTTCATTAGCATTAACCGATGGCAATGGAACATAATCAAGTAACAAGACAAAGGCTGTCCGAAACATACTTTAATATCTCTTATATATGTAAATGCCAAATAATATCGATCCACAACATAAATAAAAGATAACTATAGGAATTCGTTTTTAAATAAGTTTATATCTCACATGATCTATGCCAAATTCATGGTCATTTTTTGTTGGATATTTAGCTACCATGTTCAAAAAGCGTTTATAGGATTTTTTCAATCGATGCATTGCAAATGTTGATAAGATCGATTTTAAATTCGTTATGGAGTCGGAGTAAATATCGCTATGAAATTTTAAACAGCTTTCTAAGATACCTTTAATTGTAATAAATGATTGCAGAGGCGGCGGAACGTTTTCATGTGGGGTAAGGCTCACTTTTCAAAAATTTACTGAGTCAAACAAAATACGCAGCCGCAAAACTAAACTGTATATGTGGCAACAGAAAAAGACAAAAAGAAAAGAATTGCGTGGCTGTATAGTCCCGCACTAAATGTATGATCAATGAAAAATCCCTAGTGGAAAACTGATATTTATCTTTTGAACGGGGTAAGGCTGAGCCTAAGAGAGCCAAATTGGGGTAAGGCTTGAGCCTTACCCAGCCTAGTGGCTCCGCCGCCTATGAACGATTGTATCAAGCAATCATTTGTTTCACACTTTTTGATTCACGCTATTTCGATTGATAATAACGATGAATAAAAACAATACTTAACGATGCTTTTCCAGTGATGAAATGAGTTCAAATGCGGTCTACAATATCAGCTGATAAAATAATAGTTCTACGTTAAAGAAATGAAAACTCACTTTGTTGTCAAACACACCTATTCTTCACTTATTTACAATATCCACGCCAGAAGTTGAACATTGTTGAGTCCAGTTAATCCATACAAAGTAATGAGTGAGAGAACTACACCAGAAATCTTGAAATCAAGCCAGCACCAGCTATAATCAATGGTTTCACTCATATCTGTAACTTTTCTCTGTCGAATATTAACAATGCGACAAAAAAATTTCTAGTTTAAGTTTTCAAGATGGAAAAGAGTTATTGTACATTTTATTAGCGAGTTTCCAACGATGTGCATTCAGTAAAGTACATGCGTGAAGAAAAGCGAAACTCCAATTTAGATGAAACTTTTCAGGATATGTTGAGCTATATAGGACGCGTGCACGCAGTTAGCGAAAAGTAGCCAAAAATTTCCTGTTATGAGTTGTAGGTTTTCCAAAACCCACTAGTTTTTGAAGGTATTTTCCATTTTTCTCGCCCCAGAAGTGTTTTTATTCAATAAAAATGACATATTCAGAATCAGCGCAAGAAACTGCATCGAATGATGCGCGATTAGTAAGGTTTTCTGAGCAAAAACTTGTTGGATCTAACGAAACGCTAAACTCGAAGCATAGAGTCACAATTTTGGCTAAGGATTTTGATATTTGCTATAGAAGCAATTCAAAAGTCTACAAACACTTTTTTTATAGGTTTTCAGACATGCACTTTCCAATGATGTGCTTTATAGAGTTCGAGAATACTTATGTGTGGGTTTTCTAGAGGCTCGATCGCTGGAGAACCCAGATGAAAGCCTCTTTGAACTTCGTAAAATACACCATTTGAAAGAGCATATCTGAAAACCTATAAAAAAAGTGTTTATAGACTATCGGACTGCTTCTATAGCAAATGTCCGTCTGGCCTATGGAAAAATGCACGCTATGCGCAGTGTACAAAAATCAGGCGTTACCGCTACAACCGATTCAGTTTATGAATTTTTCAGGCTTATTATATTGAAACATATTACTTGCGTCTGAATTTTATATCTAGAGTGTAACAATGCACTCTTTTTCTAAAATTAATATTTTTTTCTATGTCAGTTATCTGTATCATAGTGACGGCAAAGAGGAAAGCAATATGGCAACTTTGAAGCAATCGAGTCATCAGGAGGATTGGACCATTAGAAGTTGCAAAGTAATTTCCTATTATGTTATTATTAAGGCGTCAATACAATTGATGGCTGGCACGATTAAAGTTGTAGCCCACTCTGCATTGTCGTCTTTCATTTTTTATCTGAAGTCAGCTGTTTTAAGGGTATACGGGTAGGAATGTAGGAGAATGTAAGGCTCTTTGTTTTCTAAATGTGAATTAAAGCCATGTTTCTTTTTTGTTACAAAATAACTAATGTCATTCAACTCTTTTTTTTAGTATAAGAGCGAAGCCTTTTCTAAATGGCAAATGGAAGGGGAAGAGAGCGAACGGGCAATGGATGGGAAGAATGGGTAATTTTATCTTTTTATCTAATTGTTGTGTTAAGTGTGATATATGTACTACATTTTGTTGCTTCAGGGAGGCTATATGGAATGTAAAAAGCGTAAATTAGAAGAACAATTTGAAAACGATTGCACTGAAGCAGCCAAAAAAGCTGAAATAAAAAGTAACATTTTTCATGGAATATCAATTTTTGTTGATGGTTATACAGGTAATTAATGATATGTTTAAAATATTAGACAAATTTACAAATCAATTTTTTGTTTTGCTTTCAAAAAGAACCACCAGCTGAACAACTGAAACAATTAATGATGGAGCATGGCGGCACATATCATGCTTATTACTCAAAAGAAAAAGTAACTTATATGATATCAGCAAATTTACCATATTGTAAGCTTAGACGTTTAAAAGCAAATGACAAAATTATAAAGCCAGAATGGATTGTAGATTGGTTTGTATTCTTTTTTATTATTGTCGTTATTTAGCTAGATATTTCATCTATCTTTAGATATTTTTATTTTATTTTTAGTGTTAAAGAAGGTAAATTGTTGCCCATAACAGACTACGAATTGTATGCCCATTTAACTCGATCTCATGGTCAGAAAAAATTAAATTTTAGACAAGTATGAGATAGCCATTACAAATATTATATAATGTAAAATGATCTAATATTTACCAGCTTTTGTATCTCCTAATAGATATCTAAAGATATGGTAGAAAATGATGTTGACGAAGATGAAAACAATGATTTTGCTCAAGATGATGAATTTTTTAATAATGAAACCGATGAGATTACTCATGTATCAAAAACAATCAGTAACAATAATTACGTAGACGATGTATCTGGAGATAATGATGATCGTCTAGCTATGAATGCTAAAAATCCAAAATTTCTTTCTACATTTTTTAAACGTAGTCGTTTACATTATTTATCAGCAACAGCAACTGAAATGAAATCTTATGTTCAAGAATTACAACAAACAAAAAATCTTCAAGAACTTGATCAAAGTCGACAAACACTAATGAAACGTATTAATTTATTAAAGACAGATATTGATCAAGAATTTAAATTTAATGGACAAATTATTATGCACATTGATATGGACTGTTTTTTTGTCTCCGTAGCCACACGAGATAAACCTGAATTAAGAGGTTAGAATAGAAATTTTTTTGTTTTTTGTTTATCAATCATTTATTACTTTTTTTATTTTTTCTTCTTCAGATCAACCGATTGCTATTACACATTCTAAAGGTGTTGGACCAACCAACACAACAACGACAATGGTGAGATTTCAAAAATAAACTATGTTTTGTGAGAAATATCATTTTGTTTTTCTTCTGTTTCAGTCTGATCAATTTTATTCTCGTGCTGAAATAGCCTCTTGTAATTATCCTGCCAGACAGTTTGGTGTTAAAAATGGAATGTATTTAGGTTTGTATTTATTGTTTCTATTATTCGGGCTACAACTTCGGGTTGAATATTTGATATTTAGGTCAAGCACAAGAATTATGTGGTACAACAAAATTATTATGTTTGAATTATGATTTTCAATCGTATCATAAAATATCCCATTTATTTTATGATATTATTTTAAAATATACATTAGATGTCGAAGCAATATCATGTGATGAAATGTATGTAGATTTAACAGAACTTTTAAATTTCTATCAACCAATTCATCCACTAACAATTGTAACATGTTTACGCAATGAAATTCAAATGAAAACAAATTGTCCCTGTTCGGCTGGTAAGTAGAATAGAAAATAAATATATAAATATTGATTGTATATATATTTTTATTTTATTTAGGTTTAGGTTCAAATATGCTTTTAGCACGTTTGGCAACAAAAAAGGCTAAACCAAATGGACAATATTATGTTAGTAAAAATGATGAAAAAGAGTTTATGTTAAAACAGAGAATAATTGATTTGCCAAGAATTGGACATGCTATATTGGACAAATTACAACAACGATCAATTGATATTGAAACATGTGAACAATTACAAATTCAATTTACACTTGATCAACTCAAACAAATATTTGGACAAAAAAATGGACAAACGTTATATGATTCATGTCGGTAAGATTCTAGGATATTATTTTATATTCTCTCTATATGAACATTTTTTTTCACTATTTTATAGTGGAATTGATCATAGACAATTGGCTAAAGAACATGTTCAAAAATCGATAAGTGTAGATGTTAACTATGGAATTCGTTTAGAAAAATATCAAGAATTAGAACAATTTGTAAAACAATTGGCCGATGAATTGAGTCAACGTTTGAGAAAATCAAATAAAAAGGGAAAATTATTAACATTAAAAATTCGATTACGTTTGCCTGGTGAACCAATTGAGACAAGTAAATTTATGGGTTGTGGTAAGACGACTGATACGAATAAATCCGTACAACTTCTATTCTCAACGGATGATCCTGTCGTTATTGAAACAGAGACATTGAATTTAATTAAAAAATTAAATATTGTTATAAGTGATCTTAGAGGTGTAAGTTAATATTTAAATTAATTATAGGAAACGTTATTTTCTCTTTTTATTCTTGTTTGTTAGATTGGAATACAAATGACAAAATTTGACGTACAGAAATCAAAGGAATCAGCATCACATTTGTTTCCCGTCGGAAATAAAACGTTATTTGATTGTAAAATGTTTAATTTGCCTAAAAAAGCAAAATCGGCTACAGAAACTGATGGTTTTGGAGTTGACAATGATCAACAAACGAATGAATGTATGATAAATGAGAAAAGAAATGAAAGATCAACGATAGACAAACATTTAGAAGGTCAAGCTACAACATCGGCTGATAAGTAAGAAAATATTCTATTGGTTTTGTACCAGATGACAGTTTCGTGTATTTTTGACAACTTTGATTACTCTCTGCTCACTTGAATCTACTAACAATATTCGACTGGTCATAGTTGTATCTCAACTATATTAAATGCGCTATAAGAAAGGCAGACCACATTTTACTTTTTTAATTATTTGGTACCTAGTACTGAGACGTTTTCATAGAATTCTAACTTCATAATGTTTTCTTTTGTTTTAGTGTCATACAGAGAGCAGAAACAACAACGGCATCAAATATATTTTCACCAGGACAAATTGATCCAGATGTTCTAGATCAATTACCAAACTCAATACGTGAAGAAGTTGAACAACATTTAAAAGCAAGGGTCCAATATCAACGAACAAAAAATTCAACTCCAATAACAACTCGTCGTCTCTCTGAACCAAATAAATCCGTTGCTGAAACATCATTCACACAAGTTATTGATCATTTAGATGAAAATGTGCTAAATGAATTACCAGAAGAGATGAGACGCGAAATAATGGGTGCTAAAAAGACACGTAAAATTTCCATAAAATATGATGTCGTAAAAAAGAAACCACCTGTACCATTACCAGTAGTGTCAAATCAAAATAATGCATTTGCTGTTATTATGCAATCACCTCAAAAACAGTCTGTTGTAGAAAAAGCAAAAGGATCAACAAAATCCAATCCGATAAAAAAATTAACGTCAAATATTCATGAAGAAGAAGAAGGTAGAAATACAACTTCAGTAACATCGAAAACAAGACAACAACAACAGCAACCATTATCAACATATGTACCACCACAACTAATGGGACGTCAAACATTAAACGAAGTCAAACTTTTGTTAACAAATTGGATCAAAACATCAGATTCACCAAGTTGTGAAGATATCAATCATTTTCAATCATATTTAGAAGTTCTGTTAGAAGAATACAATACAGAAATGATTTACACCTTACTTCGATTTACCATGTCACAAATAAAATCAAAAAAGAACAATGACTCATGGACTCATTGTTTTGCATGTATTTTAGACAATATTCAAATACTTTTCGAAGAGATGTATGGTTGTAGAATGGACATTTGAGTTTATGTATATAAAACATGAGTAAAAAGCATGTTACTCCGACTAGTGAATACAGCTAACGTTATTCTTTTTCTAGTTTATTAAATTTTTATTTTTGTGTTGAGAATAGAGACTGTGTATCGATGAAAGATTCACGCTATTTTTTCATTTGGAACAGAAATCTATTTTCGTATTTAATTTCTCTTTTTTGTGTGTGTGCGTGTGTAATGTCTCGAACAAATGTAATATGCTTGTGCAGATTTATTTTTCTTTTTGTTTCGAGCAAAGTTTTTTGGAGTGATAATTAATGTGTGTGAATATACAATTTCTCTATAAAAAAAATAAGAGTAAATTTCGATTACTATCGATACGATTGTAATAAATTCTCCGTTCGACAGCAAATCATTTTCTTCAGCGACTTTCTATGAAAGTACAGTTGATTTTATGCTTGTTGGTATCGATATGATATTTTCAATCATGTCAATTCAATTAAATAGCAACAAAAAAATGGTAGTTTACACTTGTAAAACTATTACACATGAATATAGATAATGAAAAGAGACCACATGAATTCAGTATGAAAATAGACGAGATTGTGTAATTCTATATATCAAAACTCGAATAAAATAGTACTAAACGAGGCTTCGTGATTGAGACCACTTTTTTTCAATGATTATTAATTAGATTTAAAAAGTGGTCTCAATTTGGAAGTGAAAATTTTATAGTAAAAATAGCGGTCTCAATTTGGAATGCATATGTTCTCTCGTTTCTTCTACAAATAAAATGTGATCTGAATTTATAATAGAGAGTTTGTTCTTTTCACATACTTTGTACACTGTTTATAATTTCGAATCACTCTTTAATTAGGAATGATTGTCTACCGTAGACACACAAAAATATTACAATATAAGGAACAAATATAAGGAACAGAACAGTTATATTTTAGATCCGTTACACACAGGGAAGTGAAGAATCGACAATATCACGATATGAACAAGAGCAAGCACAACAACGTACCACACGTCTAAAAAAACGAAGAGCTGTGAATAATGATCTCCGATTAACTGAAGCAAAGAAGAATCATTTCAATGGAAGCTTGAATTTAGAAGTTCATCAGGCAATACTACGACCATTAAGTTACCGTTATATAGTTGTGTTAGATAATGATTCTAATTTTGAGATGATGATGAGTATGAACCTAAAATATAACGGTTCTGTTCCTTATATTGTAATATTTTTGTGTGTCTACGGTAGACAATCATTCCTAAGTAAAGAGTGATTCGAAATTATAAACAGTGTACAAAGTATGTGAAAAGAACAAACTCTCTATTATAAATTCAGATCACATTTTATTTGTAGAAGAAACGAGAGAGCATATGCATTCCAAATTGAAACCACTTTTTAAATCTAATTAATCTAATTAATAATCATTAAAAAAAGTGGTCTCAATGTTAAAGGAGCCGTACTGAACTTTGTATTTGACTTACATTACTGTTCTTTTTTACTTTGCGATGCTTACCATTCATTATATAGTTTTTCCTTCCTTGGTCATTCTGACCTATGCGTACGAGTTGTCGTAGAATTATGCACTAATACTTGAGTTAGACGATAGGTTGACAAGTGGCATATTCAAAAAAATAGATTAAATACTCTTCTATTGTTTAAAAAGACTTTAGTATTATCCTTTTCAGGAGAATAGATGTTTGATGTCTAACGCGTACTCATATGTATAGAATACACGTGCTACTGTTCAGTTTGTCATTTGGAAAAGAAAAAAAATGTCGAAATTTCCCAATAGGCTAATGATTGAATATAATTATATAAAAGAAAGAAAACTGCGATTCATATATTATATTTTGTTATAATGTGTGACTCTGAGATAATGGAATACTTTTTTTCTATCGTTTACATACTGAAATAAAGTCTGATAACATCGTTCGAGTGCCAACGATGTTATCAGAAAAAGATAAAGAATCTCTTGCTTTACAAAACCTGATGGTTCATACAGATTAAAATATTGTTTCCTCATTGAGAATCATAAATAATAAAGGACAAATCTTTCATAGAAAATTTTGTGCGCACCGCATCAAAACCGGGGCATCAAGAGATCATTAATGGTAAAATATGTCCGACGGATCAACATGCTCAAAATGGTATTACTTGTCGGTTCTTCGATCTTACTATGACTCTCAATCAGAAACAGAAGTTATCGATTATCGGTTTTCTTAGTTTCAAAATAGAAAAGTTGATAAGAAAACAGACTAGATGACCATATCCGATGGGTACTAACAATGTGGATAGTAATAAGGAGACTTGTGAGCTTTGAGTCAATTATAAGATGTGCTAGGCTAAATTTTGGGATAGTAATGAGAATTTGAAGGCTCTCACAAGTTTTTAATCTGTAAGAAACTTGACCACTAGTCGTACATCTAAAATGTACCTTTAAGGTATTTCATACATCAGCTATCATCGTACATCAAGTCAAAACAGAAGAAAAAGGCCAAGCAAAAACGATACACTCAAGATACCACTCAACTGCTATTGTCTTTCCTGATGCACGCGCTAGTGAAGTCGGGCCGTGTACATGACTTTATTATTTATTATTTTCTCAATGCGGAATCAATACATGTGTTTTGTTAGTCTCCATGAGTGTAAGAAGGATGAGAGAAGTAGCGTTTACTCAGCGTCTAGGGCTGGTTTGGAGGTTGCCGATGTGAATGGTATTGTCGAGAAATTAACAGGGTTTTAGTGAAGAAATGTGTCTTATTTCATCTGGGAATGAATATACCGTCGTTTTCCGTTGATACTAAGCCATTTTTACGCGAAAAAGAGAGTGGGCCGATTTCTAACCTTATACGTTGCCGTCCTTTATTTGATGATTTACAGAAAAATGCAATGGTGGCTTCTGAAGCTATTGAAAGAGGTTCCTAGTGTATTCGATTATGATTAAGGTTATTCATTAGCGAGAGAAAACCGTGTAAAACATTTTCCAGCTAATTCACTAATATTGTTTTTATTTTAGTCTTGATATTATTTCTTCTGAAGGATTTATGTATGATACATCTGAAAGTGGTGATTTGTTAGATAATCGACGTTCGTCTTATTCTAAAATGAGAGTAATAACAACTGATGATCTAGGAGCGTAAGTTTCAAAACATCAAAGCTTTATTATTTTTTAAATTCTCATTTTCATCTTTTTTCCACTTGCTTTTAGTGATGAGATATCAATGAATCCACCAGAATGGGTATGTAAAGCTTCATTTAAACTCAGTCGCGGACACCTTAATTTTCTGTTATTCTGACTTTTATCTCTTGTTCATTCGGTGGATAAGTTTCAAGCTGTGTTGAAGATTGTTTTAAACATCATTAGAGATCAGTTGCACCAGAACAGGAAGATAAGATGTAAATTCAATTGGGTTGATTTCTCTCAAACTCACTCCTTCCGCTCTTGACTCAAATAAAATTATCAGCGTTTGCAAATCGGTGAAACTGCTGAATTTTTCTCTAAAGGCTGCAGGTGCTTCATAGTGCATGCTTTGATCTACACACTGAAAAGTTTTGCTGTGCAACTTAGTCATTAATTTGATTTCTGTTTATCTATAATTTTTAGGAAAGAAAACTCCAACTGGAAATTAAACTCAGCACAGCAAGACGATTGGTATAAATAATTTATTTTGTTCCTTAAAGGTTAACAAAATGTATTCTTTTTTGTTAACCTTTAAGGAACGAAATAAATTATTTATGTCAAAAACAAAAGAAGCAAGACGATTGCAGTGGCGGGCCGACGTGGTGACAAGGTGTGGCAATTGCCACACCAAAAAATTGGTGCGACCACATGGGTGTGCTCTTAGTTTCAAAAACGGTTTTTTTTTGTTCACTACTGATACTTTTCGAAATTTATTGCCACATCAAAAACACAGACTCTGGCCCGCCACTGGACGATTGAAATTAGAAGCAGAAATGAGACGATTGGAATTACAAGCAGAAGTGAGACAAAATATATCAAATGCACAAAAAGAAAGTAAGTTCTATAGATCATAACTGAACATGATTCTTAAATAATACATATGTGCTCGTAGCGCGAAAAAGAGAACATGATGAGCTATAAAAAGATTGATTTGATGATTATATCATGTCGTTTTTCTTTTAGATAACGAGAAAAATTGGCTAAGAATTATGCGAACAATTGCTGGTAAGTCTGTTTTAAAAAAGAGTTAATTTAAAGTTTGCTGACAGCGCCTTGAAAGTTTATTAATAATAACTTCTGGAAGTGTGCGGATGCGGCAAGTATTAGAATATGTATTAATATGATGTCATCAAAAATCTTTTAACAATATTTAATCAGTCATAGTAAATAATAATTTATAGCTAACAGAGATTCACCGTCTTGGATGCACTAATGATTTAAAAATCCTCTCGCATCTAATTTATGTGGATTCAAATTTTGCTGTATGCTGTTGTCTAAGATGTAGGAACTAACAAAATCTTAATTCAAAATGGAGAACGTACAAGACGAGCAGATGTAGACTGCCGATTGTAATTAATTATACATATTAATATAATGACACCAAACCACGTATATCTTCCATTATTTTAACACTACGATAATATCACTCATTTTTCTTCCGTACAGTTTTTGTCTGAGGAAATGTATTAAATATACATTTAGTAGAAAAGATCATATTATCGTTCTTAAATGAAGGTTAGTAAAAGTACGCAATAACGTTGTTTGATAGAAAAAACGTTCAATTTTGTGACACGTGTCTATTTTATATACCTATAAAAATTAAAAATTTTATCAATCATTATTCCGTAGCTTTCTAAATGCGCCAAAAATTTAAGGCAATTAATATAAAAGTGGTCTCAAATTGAAACGAGTACCGTTATATTGGTCTTACTTTTATTGTATTTCAAAAGAGCGACCTCTTTTTAATTAATGAACAATCAACAATCGTAATTTGAAATGTAGATATATCAATTGGTCACTTTCTAGAAACAATAGAATACAATAGAAGTAGAAACATATAGAATAAGAATTGTTGACTATATATTTATGGATCATACGTAGCTATACTAAAAAAAACTAATGACTATTTTATGAACGAACGTTAGAATAAGAACCAACTCTCAGAGCAAAATGATTAATTTTGATTAATAATTAGTAAAATACAGAGGCGCAGAATCTACCCGTGAAATTGGAAAATTTCCCTCGACAGAAAAAGTTTTTTCAAAAACTTCCCCAACATAATCCACGAACAGAATTTCTTTTTGCAGTATATTTGCAAAAAGTTGTTTCAATTTTTCAAAAAATTTCCCTAAATCAATAAGTTTTCTCCCGACGACCGTCGGAGCAAACAGGCAGATTCTGCAGCTCTGCTAAAATACATTCTAATGATTGTTTCTCCCAAAAGAATATTTTATAACATTATTGGTCGTTGCAAAATTTGTGATAGTAGTAGAGATAGTGGTGACGAAGACTAAATTCTTTATTGATATAGCTACGTATTATCCAGAAATATATAGTCAACATATCCTATTCTATATGCTTCAACTTTCAGTGTTTCTAGAAAGCGACCAATTGATATAACTATATTTCAAATTATGATTGTTTATCATTCATTAATTTTTTTCACTTTTTGGAAACACAATAAAAATGAGACTAATACACCTTTATTCGTTCCAATTTGCGATCACTTTCTTACTGATTGGCTTAATTTTTGGTCGCAATTAGAAAGTAGTCCATTATTTCATATCAAGTTTTAGCCTACTTTTTCTTTCCGAAAAAAGTATGTGTATGATTTAATACGCATTGTACCTGTGAACGAAATCAAAAAAGAGTGTAATTTCTTTAATTGACTGAAAATAACGAATTAGAGTCTGATTTTTTGTATATGTTGTACGAATAGAATGCACCGGAGATCAAAAGAATGATAGAACAGGAAATGATGTGCACGATAATTCATTATGTGCTGTTTACAATGATTACAAAAGACACTTCACATGTCATCCCTCTACACATTGAATTTTCGATTTCAAAATGTCCACCTGGCAAGAAATTTCCTCTGAAATAATATTTTATGTCGAAAGAAGTAGCAGGAAACATCACACACTTTCATTTCTGGCTTATCTGAATGTTAATCAATTATTCAGACTCTCGTTCACTATTTTAATATTTTGAGAAAAAAATGACTTTTTTCACTATTTTCAAACAAATTATGACAACTGTACCCTAGTCTTAGGATTCCAAAATATTTTCGATTTATTTTTATTTTCAAATGAGCATTAAATTGAACAAATCTGAATATGTCAAATCGACAAAGACGTTAATTTTTCACACAATTTTTAAAAGAAAGAGGTCGTCTTTTGTTCATCCCTACGGGTACTTTTACTCATCATTTTATAAAAACTATTAGAAAATCACATAGATTATTAGTACAAGTATATAAGATGTAAACTGAGAACTTTAGTTAAGAGAAAAAAAAGAAAGAGGCAGTGGACCATGGATGGACTACCCATTTTCATTATGACGGGCGAGTATACAGATCTATTTTGATGATTAATAACAATTGATTGCAAATCATTGATCCGACATATACACCTGAGTCGTTGTTCATATTTAATATCCATGACTTTCTCTCTCTCTCTCTCTCTCTCTCTCTCTCTGTCTCTCTTTCTCTCAAAATTGGCAACAGACGCGTTTCTCTCTCTCTGCTTTTTTTCCTTTAAACGAGGAAGAAAAATAATAATCAACTCAACGTGACACTTTCGATTTTAATTAATTTACCAAGTATAGTATTAGCATCACACCATGTCTATATGGTCAATAATGCACGTGAAAACTACCCGATTCTAATAAAATTTTTTATATAGTTGAATTAGTCTTTTTTTTCTGAATAATAAACTAAGTTACGGTAAGGTTATGCATGCTGATATATTTTCCTCAATAAATGAGAAAAGAATACAATGAAGAATATTGGTTGAGAAAAATGACTCCAGTTATCTATAAACTGAAAAAAGTATGATAGATTGACGATTTCAGATTCATAGAGGAAACATTATGAAAAATAATGTCATCATTTGAGACTGTTCAAAAATTTTTTTGCTCATTGATATTGATTATTGTCTCGGTTTTAAATATTGATCAATATGTCACATATTCAATCTCTTTATTATGACAACACTCCGTATCTGTCTAAATCAAACTACTATACTTTAAGTTTATTTAAGTAATAAAAAAATTTCAAGATAATCGACTTTTCCATTTAACATCTCAATGTGAGAAAATGTTGTCAACGCTGATTGAACAGCGTGTGTATGAATGTATGTATTTTCGATCATTATCAAAATATTAGTTTTGACCATTGAGTAAAAAATACTTATCAATAGACTTATTCAAAAGAGATTGAACTTATAAATAAGAGAATACAACGTCAATTACACCATTTAACTATGGTCTGTAGATAACGTAAATATAATAGTTACATATTATTTAATAATTTTTTCATCAGTTTGACAATTTATTTTTTAACTAATTATTTTTCTGTTTATTGTCGACAAAAAAATAATAAAGTTTTATAGAATTTATCAGTGTGTGACCCTGACATGCAAATTTAACATTATGGAACAATTCGGTTATTTGAAACATATGACAAACAATTGTAGTTAACTATTCTAGTCATGAAACAAACTGTTTTATTTCAGTTTGCACCAACTTGAACAATAAGTAGTCAAATATCGACATTATATTTTGAACTTAAAACATTAATCATTATTGAAGAGTACTGTTTTTTTGTTGTCAACATTGAACACGTTATAGTCTCGATTTTTTTGTACGAATATAAAAAAAACAACAACTGTACAATTTTCTACAGTAAGTAGATTAGACAATTCTCTTGTTTATAAATAGCTTATAGATATACAAACACTCTTCTCGTTGCACATTGATTCGATGAGAAAAGAAATGTCGTTAAAGTGTTAATCTTTCGAGAGATACTGTTAAAAAACTCATGAACTATTATTTATAGTCTCGTTGTTTAGTGTAAGATTTGAAAGTTATATATATATATATATATTAGTGTCAAATATCGAGACAAACAGAATAAAATAAAATGATTTTTCAATTGTTAAGGCGGGAGTTGATTTTGTAATTCATTTTATAGTCTTCTCTAAATAATTTGATTAGTTAAATAAATATAGAAACTGTATTGTAGATAGTTATAATACAAAAATCTTCATTATTCTTTCTAAATGATACAAACATTTTGCTTTTTTTTTAATTGAATGGTTTGAATATGTGTGTAGAAAAATAAAGCGGCATATGTGAACGTTGTGAACGATGATACCCCATATTTTCCTAAGATACTAATGTTTGAAGTTTCTTTATAAATGCGTAAAATTATCCATAAAACGACCTTTTCTTGTACAGACTAAAAGAAATGTTATTTACGAGTTAAGTGAGAGTGAGAGTGAGAGATATAGATTGATCTAACAATCTGTTATATGAATGAATAAAAAGTTTTTGTTATAAAGAAGTTTTAACACAAATTTTTATGTAGATGAGGTGTTTTTTCCTCGAGATATGTGATTGAATTAATTGTGAACGTCAAACGAGATCAGTAAAAACCGAATTGAATAAATTCGTGTGAATAATGACAAACTAATTCAAAGATTAAATCATTTATTCACTTCATAATTTATTATTTGAATAAGATGAATAAGTAGAGCAGTTTAAGTTTGACAGAAAAACGGTTTTATGATTGAACAGCGTAATGGAAACATATTGACACACTGAAACTTTTCACTCGTTCTAACGAATGGGATAGATTACATGACACGTTTTTGTATGGATTTTATTTCTAGCATAAGAATTGTTTCGAAGTTCTGTTTTTAGTACTAGAAGAAAGTACATTTTTTACACCATACAAAACTAAGTCTTTTGCATTCCGAAGTCATTGTTTACCAAAGTAACCGATACATACTAGTCGACTTATTTGACAGGTACATTTTAGTCAAAACGATAGCTCTGAAATTGATGAAATATTCTTTCTCATTTACACCCTGTTCAATTTTAATTTTTTTGTTAATAAAAACGATTGAATATGGACAATTGTAACATTCTTTTGTATGCTAATCGTCATCGTACTTTTTATCTCCCTTTATTCTTTGTTAATAAAACAAAATATTACGTAAATAACGGAGTTATTGAGTTTCGTATAGCAGATACTTCTGTCTTCTAGCACTAAATCAGAATTTCTAGACAAGGTCTATCCTCTAGATAAATTCGGTACGTTATGTAATATGGCCTACCCGTGAGTATACATATTGAATTTCATCTAACTTCATTACTTCTCCTCACCTTAAGCGCAAAATATTAATATTTATAGTTCCAATCATCAGCTAGTTTATTTTAAATACTAACAACTGTGACTTTAAGCTTCTACCATTTTAAATATCGTTATAACGATTTAATTTGAACTCACTAGTGTATTATGTGATTATTTTTTTAATTATTGCGTTTTGGAAACTATATGACTCGTAAAAGATGTTAATACATTGACTTCCCGTTGCGCTTGCATGGACTATTGTACCATATGGACTGTGTGTCTATTCTATGCTGTGACAGTTGACCAGTGGTTTTAATTCATTTTTTTTTGTCGTTCTCTTTTTCTTTTTTTTTTCTTCAAAAATGCGTCTTACCACATTATTAAATAGACATTTTATAGTCTATGTACAACAATTACTATTGTTTGTTTATAGAACGGGAAAACGATCTATTCTAATTTTTTTTTCTCTCTTCTTTTTTTCTTCTTCTATATGTGTACTTTAAGAGTAAGAGGAACATTTGTGGTTTGATTGAGGTAATAATCATCGCAGATTAACTTCGATCTTTATCAATATTGTTTAAATAAGCTTCAAAGTCATTCTTTTATATCAGTAAGTGCATATATAGCTTTATTTTTTCTGTTATTCGTGGCTGATTAATTGTGTAATACGAGAAGATAGGGATAGAGAGAGAGAAAGAAAGTCCATTATATCTATCAATACATAAAAGTTCGATGAACACGTGTAAAATAAAAGCCATTTATGATTTACAAAGCATATAGATACACAAAAACGCATGCCGTTAAATAAAAGATTATTCGACTCGTCAGTAAGTTTACTCTTATATCAATGCACGTAGATCGGCAGATCAAGGATTTTATTCAGATCTCAAACGAAAAATTTTATGAACATTTTTTTTATTTCGGAAAAAATATCTCAGTTTGATATACATGCAAGAATAGCATCGAGTGATATATTTCACGGTTAACATCATATAAATTAAAAATTTTCAGCAGTCTTCTCCTGCAGTAGATCTCTCTGTTGACTCAATTAGTGTGACAGACTGTTTTATTTCTTCTTAAAAGCGTTTAGTTCTTTATCCATTTGTTGTTATTCCCATGTAGATTTTTAGGACAAACTTGTCTAGCCTTGGGGATTCCAGTATTTAATCCCCATAAGTGTACAATCTATCATTTAACACGTTTTTTTTCTCTCTTTTCACACATTTTGAGACTTTTAGCACTCGCTACATATACTACCGTGTCTTTTGTTGCTTTGTGATGTACTTGAAGTAGTATAGAGAGAGATAAGTACTTATGTGCCATTAGGTTTGTTTCTCTAAAAAAAAAATCGCTTTATTTTACTTTTTTTATGCCTTATAAATCAAATCTATACATATAGGTTATAAGTGATAAACGTATAAATTAGTTCAATCATTTTCTTCTCTCTTTTTATCGTGTCTATACAATCTAGTCATTTATTCACGATTTTAGCAGTATCAAACATCAAGTATCTTTCAACCTTTTATACTGAAGGAGAAAAAAAAAAGGTGAAAAGAGATTTTGGTTCAAGAGTTCTTCAGATAGGAAAAATGCGCATCTAATGTTTCATGTTTGTTGCAACATATTGTACACTTGCTACAACAACAAAAAAAAAATCTGTTCATCATATATCTTTCGGTGTTTCTTTCTCTGTCAGCAGTGTCAGCTAATTTTTACACATTTAACAGAACAGACTTATTATTTTGTTCTAGTCACGTATATACTACATAGAAGGATAGACAGATGTATCTGCAAGCTAACAATCGGATTATTAAAAGTAAAAAACGTACATTTTACGATAATTAATTATTTTTATTGTGTGTGTGTGCTTTGTTGTTTAACCAATTAACCGCTCAAGGTAAAATTGACAAGGACATGGGTACAGAAAAGAATAGAGAACAATTTGTTTTATCTTTATTCGCAAAACTAATTATTCTAATCGATATGTCATCATCATTGGGATAATATAAATTAGTAGAGCTGTGAAAAATAATCATGACTTTTAATGGAAATAGCCCATGATTAATAGAAATCCCTGAAAAAATGATATTCTCTGTTCTCTAAAATATTTTCGGAAATTTTTTTTTGTTTTATTTCAATGTTTCATGACTATTTTGTAACATAATTCAAAATCAATTGTTTATTCCACGCATTATTTTTACTACTCTTTGCTATTATCGTTCTATTTTTATTTTAGTTCAATTTTGTCGAATAATTTCTTTCTTTAATAAATTTGAATATGATCATATATTACTCCAATATTCAGTATTTATTCTATACTCTATTATCTTCAATATATTTATTATTTCATTTATCCTATGGTAAAAAAGAGATAAGATTTTATATTGTACAATATGTTTCATTTTTTTCTTGTTTTTATTTTTTTTAATTATTTTTTGTAGCTGAACTTATCAATCAACAAATTATAGTTGGACCAGAAGATGTTAATGCAAATGTAGGTGACACAATTATATTTCCTTGTATTCTTTTATCACCGTTAAGTAAAATCACATGGTGTTGGAATGATTTTTGTACACTTGGAAAAATGATACATATTCAAAATAGTGAAAATCAATTTAATCAATTATATCAATATGAATTTTATCCAAGATTTTATTTATCAATTAATGAAAAATTATGTAAGTATTCTATTCTATTCAATTGGTATTTATAGATTATTTTTATAGTTTTACGCTTAGTTAATACAATTTTGAATTGGATCGATCATTTTATGTCTATTAGACTTTGAAATAACTACTAGTCCATCTATCTACATGTTGTTTTTTTTTCTTCTTCTTTGATGCAATCATTTGTATTTATTGCCGTTATGTCGTTCAAATAGAGACTTGATGTATATGTCTATTTACACTTAACTTAAGCAAAAAAGAAAAAAGACTTTTACGTAATTCGTTTTTTTTTTTTTTTTTATTATTAATTATGAGACCATCATTGTCATTTTGACTTATATATGGTGTTTTCTTTTTCTCTTCCTTCTTTCTCTTGAAAAATTAATGACACTTGAATAATTGACTTCTTTTTTTTTTTAGTATGTAGATAGTCAAGTGTAAAAAAAAGAAGGAGTGATAGAGTCACTGTGTTTATTTCTTATGTATACAAAATGAAGATATATACCTCTAATCTTTCCAATTTTTGCTGCGTTATATAATAATTCATTAGAAAAAGTTCTGTTTTAAAAATATCCATCGAATAATATTATTCTTTGTACTAATTCAAGTCTTGTTGTTTGTAGTGGAGGATAATAAACGCTTTAGGACTCATACAATTTGAACTTTACTTTACAAATAAGTTTTAGTTGTTCAAACGCGTTGTCTCATCATTCGTAAACCATATATTTATGTTAAATACACAAATGACTGACTCTCTTTTAGTTTTGAGAGTTGTTTCCTGTTTTACTCTAAAAATTTTACCTTTTCGTTTTTAAAATTACATGTGAATGTGAGAACATCAAGACTAAGTTTTAACATATTTGCATTTATTCTCTATTAGACATTCGATTTTAGTCTAATCTATAGATAAATTGCATCAATTTTCATCTTCAAAACTGAATTATCCTCGTAAAATAAATGAACAGGAAGTTTTTTAAAAACTTTCCATTGTTCTCTAATGTATTATTATTGTAGGTTTAGTTGCGTGTGCGTGTGTTCAATTTTACACTGTTCAATATAAGAGACAGCGAGAGAGAAAGAGAGAGAGAAAAAAAGAGGTTACTCGGAAATGGCGGTATATGAATTGAAGTAGTGTACACTAGTCAAAATATGTGCTATAAATTTCTTGTTCATTATTATTTATGTTTATCCTGGTGTCACAAAGAAAAATTTTCCTCTTCTTTTTTTTTTTTCGACTAAAAGAAAACGGAAATCTGTATGATGTAATCTTACGGCAATGGAAAATTAATTGTCTTCTTCCGTATTCAATTAGAATTGTATGTCGACGTGGATTAATATAAATGTTCACCTTTTTGAATAGTAGATCAAATGTCTATTAATCATCGTAAGATGAATGAAAAATATCGGAAATTTTTTTTTTCTTGAATTTTAATACTTTCGATATAGGACAAAAACAGAAAAGATCTCGGGAAAATTAGTAAAATGGATCTCGGAAGGAAATAAAGACAGAAATGATCTCGGAAAATTTTATTTATTTTTTTATTCTATACAAAAAGATCTTGGAAAAATAAATTTATCTATTTATGCAGAAAACATCTCGAAATAATGAATAGTCTAGAAGGAAATCACCATGGTTTTGTTCGTATAGATATGGTCTCAAAGAATACTCATGTATACATGCGATTGGTTTAATGATGATGTGGAGTACAAGACCTGTCTCACAACTTATTGACAAACGTAGGGAAAGAGGACGTCTAAAAAAAAATAAAAAAATAGTATTACGACCAAGACTAGAAAGCTGAGTGTGTTCTCTTTTTTTTTATTTGTGTCATAATCTTGTAAGTGTTGCAAAAAGTTTCCCATTAAAGAATCGTTTTGCCAAAGACTGCACTGTTTGAAAGGTATAATATACGAGGATGTGAGAGCTGTTTTATTAATTTATTAATTAATTAATTATTCCGAGATATTTTCTGTATAAATAGATAAATTTCTGCAGATCTTTTCTGCATAATAAAAAAAATAAATAAAATTTTCCGAAATCTTTTATGCAGAAATACTTAAGTGACATAGAACTTGTCTGTCTTTATTTCCTTTCGAGATTCATTCTACTAATTTTCCAAGATCTTTTATTTTCACGTCCTTCAATATATTTCAGTTATTTTAATATTTTTCTTTTGATCTGAGAATGGAAATCATTTTTTTAATTCATAATTTTGCTTTAGATCATTACAATTTAACAATAAAAAATGTATCATCCAATGATCAAGGAACCTATCAGTGTCAAGCATTACGTACACTAAAAACACAAGAAGCTGTTTCAAAACGCGTACGATTAGCTATTATTGGTATGTATATAAATTTAGTTATATATTTAAAATGATACATTTTATTTCTTATATTAGCTCATCCCACTAGTAATCCAAATATTATTATTGGAAATATGCCTTTACAACAAGGTACACCAGTCAATGTAACATGTTTATCTAGTTTATCTCAACCAGCATCAAATTTATTCTTATATAAAAATAATGAACAATTAAAATCCATACTCATTCAGTATGAATATGATGTGAAGAGTAGAAAAAATTTAACAAAATTATTTTATACGCTCAATCCAGATGTAACGTGGCATAATATTATGTTAAAATGTGAACAAACTTATTCGTTATCAAATTTTAAACAAGATGTATCTACACGTATCCAAGTTCAATGTATATTAATGATATTTTTAGAATATTATCTTATTTTTTATTTTTTTGTTTTTTCATTTAGATAAGCCGTTAGTACGTATTGAATCACAAAATAAATATCCATTAATAATAAATTCTACGGCAACATTTGCCTGTATTGTTAATTCAAATCCTCATTCATATCTTAAGTAAGTTATTCTTTTAAAACTATTAATTGTCTCTATCATTCTCTCTTTCTCTATCTAGATGGTTTACTAACTCACTCGATCTAACTAATTTAAATTCACCTGTTATCAGTATACCATTGTCAAAAGGTGTTCACAATCATATAATTGGATGTAGTGCAAAAAATAGTATTGGTACAACGAATACAACTATTCGAATTCTAATAAGATGTATGATGGCATGTTTTTAATTTATATCTCGTACTATTATCATTTACTTTTTATTTTTTGATTATATTCATAGATCCACCAACATTTATTATTCGACCACCATCATTTTATTTATTTGAACAACAAAATAAACATAATAATAATGTTTTACGTTGTCTAGTTGATTCTTATCCAAAAGCAAAAGTTCTTTGGTATCGTTATGATCAAATAATTCATGATGGTTCATTATTAAATCTTGAAAATATAACGCAACAAAAACAGCAAGGTTTATATACATGTCACGTATACGTTGATGGATTTGAAACGATTACAAGTGATGTTGTCGTCTATGTTAAAGGTATGTTAATTTTGTTCAATATTCGTAATGTATACAACTTAAAAGTGATTTCTCTCTCTATTTATATAAATATATATATACACACACACATACATACACGAGACAATCATCGAGTAATCTATTGACCTTTATTCAAGTGTGAAAATACATATTTGCAAATAAATAAAATTAAAAAAAAAGTGCACATTTTAGTTTAAGTACAATTGAGAGTTGTTTATAGAGAGGATACTTAGTAGAAGAAAGAAAAATTGGCAGTTATTCAAGTTTATTTTATTTTATTTTTTTCTTCGAACTAAGAAAATCAAATTGCAGAACTGTTTGTAGCAATGTTGATATATAGAATATAGATTTTCTGTGATTCCTTTAACGGATGCTTCAGAATAAAAATGAGCATTTTCGTTCGTATTTTGACTAAAAACTGTTTTCTTCACATCCTTAGCCCTGAATGTTTTCGTAAAAGATGCGCTGTAAAATTCTCTAAAAAACAGAGTATTTTCAATAACATTTGGATAATGAAAAGTAAAATTCTTCAGTAAACTGCCCTTTCCAAATAGGAGAAAGTCGAGTATTCGGCAAAAATTCTTCGTGCTTTAAGTAGTGCACTTAGTTTGATTACGATCAAACGTTGGGTATCAACTAAGCCGGTTCCACGGACCAAGACAAAGTGAACAGCAAGAAGTTTGCTGAGTCTTTGGTGACCATTTCGCAATAAATAAATTTGGTGATCAAAACACATTTTCCCATAATAAATTATCAAGATGTTCTCGTTTTAATAGTTATCAATTTAAGATAACAGCCCGTATGCATGCACCGGTTAAAAATCGGTTTTTTATCTCTTTTCGAAAAAAGTTTTCCAAGTAGATACAGTACAGCCCTGTTAAACAACAAACACGAAAATCTTGACGATGTTTTTGTGACGAGAAATTTTCCGATACCGATGAGGTTTTAAGTTCGCAGAAAAAGATAGAATATGGGCAATAAATTATGATAAAGCTGATAGGAAGTGTGCCACCAAGGGGAAACGATAGTTTTGAATGAAAGTGATGGTTGATTAGCTGCAATCATCATTTTTGAGATAACGGGAGCAAAGAATTTATCGCCAAACAAAAGATTGTCTAATATTTCCTGTTTGTTCTTTATCAGAGCTGTGCTGTATCCATTTCAACTTCTTGTTGTTGACTTTGTCTTGGTCCGTGAGAACCAGCTTGGTTGTTCATTCATACCCAACGTTTGATCGTAATCAAACTAAGTGCACTACTTAAAGCACGAAGAATTTTTGCCGAATACTCGACTTTCTCCTATTTGGAAAGTGCAGTTTACTGAAGAATTTTACTTTTCATTGTCACAATTGTTATTGAAAATACTCTGTTTTTTAGAGAACTTTACGGCGCATCTTTTGTGAAAACAATCAGAACTAAGGATTTGAAGGAAAAAACTTATAATATGGAGAGACTCATTTATTCTGAAGCATCCGTTCACATCAAAGTCTAATAAATTTGTCATAAGTCTAAATCGTTCTTTTCTTTTAGGAAAGCCATTAATATTTGTCAAAGAATCTAGAAAATCAATACAAGAAAAAGAATTTGAATGTAAAGTTTATTCAAATGTTCCGATAATGGTTAGTCATATAATTCTATTATTTTCTCTAAATTACAAAATTCTATTGTTTGAATATTTATTCTAGCGTATATCATGGAATATAAATGGTATAACAATTGAGACAGATGATAGTTCTTCTATAACAACAACGTGTGATAATATTAGTTGTACTTCAAAATTAACTTTAAAAACTCTTTTATTAAAAAAAGTCTTCAATCGTCTTTCGTGTACAGCCGAAAATGAGTTTGGAATTGAACAAAGTTTGATATCTGAACTTGAATATGGTGAAAGTAAGAAATCTATTCACGAAATTAAACATTATCTAAACATATATTTTATCTTTTAATAGATGGATTCTATAATTTATTGTTACCAATTGTATTAGTATCATTCTTCATTTTATTGATTGTTTCTATCATCATTATTTGTTGTGCATGTAAAGGACGAAGACATCGTCAACATTCAGGTACATTTAATGTCTCAAGAAGATATAATAATGCTGAAAAACTGTTGATTATGTTTTTTTAGTGAAAAAACTGCCAGTAGTATTTGATGCTCATTATTCTATAAATGATATGGTAAAAGATGCATCCATGAACGATGATCAATTATCACTAAGAATTGAACAATCTCACGAACCAATAATTCTCTCATTTTTTAATAAGAAATCAGATAATATCTCCGTAAGTTATTAATCAATATTTATAAATGAGAAATACGTCTAATTTATTAAATATTTTTAGAATGAATCGTCAAATAGTTCAGGATTTTATTCAAAATCATCAATGATGACATTTAACGTCGAACAATCAAATGAATATAGTCCAAGAATGGTTGAGGCTGCTTATAATTTTTCGAGTAAGTAACTTAAACATCCGTCGACATGAAATACTAACTAACTGTTTTTTTTAGGTATGTCTCCACTCTACACCTCGCAATATCAGATAAATGTGTAATAAATAGAATTGATGGGATTAAAAAGTAAACTTCAAAACTCGGTGGTTAAAATTTTTATTTTTATACGTGTGTGTGTGAGTGAGTGTGTATGTGGAGAAATGTCTGTAATTTAATTCAAGTAATTTTTAAATTGCTTAACGACTAACAAATGCGTTGTACATAATAAATAATATATTTTTCGTTTTCTTCTTTATGTTTTGTTGTATGTCGAATTTTATCGACACTGTATGTTTATACCCTTTTTTTAACTGACGAATCGAATAAAAAATTGAACTATTTGGTACTAATTTATATTTTTTCATATTATTGAAAAAATCCAAGTGTTTAAGAATTCCACTATGTCAGCACAATTGTGCTTCTCTCTCTCTGTTCACATCACTTTCACATTTCATTTGTATATGAAACTTGATTAAAAATAAAAACATCTAAGAATATCATATTAGTCTTCTTCTCTACTTATCTTTATAATATTTTTTCTTTGCCTTCAATCATCACTTTAGTATTGCTTTTGAGCAATTATCCATCACCAAAGACAAATTCAAACCTTAATCTATCAAATGATATTTTCAATGTCATATAACAACTTGATCAGTGATTCACTGGTATTTATTTGTTCTTATCGGCTTTCTCATATATATACACTCGATAACATTTAACGATGACTTTCGAAATAGAGAAACAGTTTATAAATTTTAACGGATCATTAAATAATTTTGAATAGAATTTTATGCGACAATAAACCAGGATGAACTCATATCTATTATATAGTGATTATTTCTATATCAATACCTCATTATAGATATGAATCGTATTTATCTGACAAAATGTGAAAAATTTTAGGTTTTCACAATTCTCTTTAAAAAGCAGACATTGCCACCAGTTGTACAAGGATCGATTACCACCCATGTTTTTCCATGTCTGAGGTTATCGAAAGAATCACTGGCTGCCAAGCAGTGGTAGAGCTTTCATAAATCCGTTCACATTACTGAAAATGGAGATGTCACTTGACTCGCGTGCTAAAGAAAACACTTTAGAAAATCTGTCGATATGAAAAAATGAATATATTGCTGTTTGAACTTTTGGAGATTCGACGTTACTATTTGTAACGTGCTAAGAACTTGTGAGGTTATTCCTTTCAGAATCATTTTGCGTCCAATGGTTAATAGCCAAAGAAGAATATAACTGTTACACATACACTTTATTTCAGTAAATTAACAACTATATATACTTAGGTCAGTCCAAAAGTAATTGCGGAGGTATGATAATCCTTCGAAGGAGGGTTCGATAGTTTTTTTTTCTATACAGTCTGATAGAGAAAAGAAAGCTCTATTTTTCTATGCTATTTGATCATACTTCAACTAATATCATAATAATAAACTCTCGACAAAACTTGTATCGTTAGGATATGTGCTGGTTATACAGGGTTGCCAATATGTTTTTTCATCGAGGTACAGCTTCAACGACAAATAATATCAACACTGAACTTTATACTAAATGAAAGCCCGTCAAAAACGGGATTTAGGAGTATAACTCGTCATTCATAAGATGAGAATGGGCTATAGAATTACATCAAGCTTCATTTGGTTGAACACTCAATGGGTGGGTAGTCAATCACAAAAACATAAAGTTCTCAGAAATTTGTCTGTCTATCGGGTTTTGTAGAGCTCTTTTTGTAGATCATTTTGCTAAAAAAATCTTTTAAATTTGATCAATAAATAACGGTACTAAGGTCAAAATACTCAAAACTATCTAGCTATATCAACCAGAAGATATTTAAATTTTCAGTATTTTGATCCTGGCGCCGTTATTTATTGATCAGATTTAAAAGATATTTTTAGCAAAATGATCAGCAAAGAGAGCTCTACAAAGTTCGATAGACAAAACAGATTTCTGACGCCTCTATGGAAAAACATATTTGGGAACCCTGTATAACCAGTACATATCCTAACCAAACAAGTTTTATCGAAAGTTTATTATTATGATATTAGTTGAAGTATGATCAAATAGCATAGAAAAATAGAGTTTCCTTTTCTCTATCAGTATAGAAAAAAAACCTATCGAACCCTCCTTCGAAGGATTATCATACCTCCGCAACTACTTTTGGACTGACATAAGTAGTATATTTAGCTACCGGAAGATCTCTTAGGGAAACTGGGAAAAACACATTTTGTACAAGAGAGAGAGAGAGAATAGGAATGAAAAATACCCATCGAAGAGTGATCGGAAAGACAAAACATATATCATATAAAAGCAGAAGAGTAACTACATATAACAGAAGAATAGAAAGGAAAAATAACCATTGAGTGAAGAGAAAATGTATATTGAAAGATAACTGCTGATATGAGATTTAGTTTGTACTTCCTAACAAACTAATATCTTTTGGCTGTTAAAACCTCAAATGGATTAGAATATGCAATATTGACTACGCTGAGTCTTGTGGCAAAGTTCTTTTTATCGAAAAAAAATCTGTTGATAATATGATAAGGGAATGATATTTAACTTTAATTTCGTTTCTCTCGTAGAATTTTATTTTAGTTTATAAATTTATCTACAACTGTGCTAAACGTTTCGAAGTCTAAAACGTGTCCTTCTTCAGTAGTACAAATTAGATGAATAGCAAACAATTACAGAAAAGAACGCACGTTATATACGGGAGCTAATTAAAATACGCACGCGTTCAACAGCTGCAAATAGTGATGTATAACAGGATTATGTTTGAACATTACACTTATTGAAATCCAGAATTGAGCGAGATATGACATATGCCCGAAAAGAAATGTGAGAAATGAATAATAAGTACAGTAAACGATGATAAGGTGATGATTGTTAAAGATACAACTGAATATGCATAAAGATGAGCAGCTAAAATATAATGTTGACTGACATTGTGGTGAATATGACAGATGTACAAAAGGTGAAAATTAAATAATAAGTGCAATTGTCAAAGACCAAAATAAAATTATTTACTAGTTAAAATTTATATTTTTAGCTTGTGCTTGTGCTCCTAAACTATATTTGCCTTTTGTCGTAATCCTAAAACTACTTGTTGACTAACTATATTGTGACTATTTATTTGACTATTATGGTGACTATTATTATCTGAATTTATTGTTTTTGTTCTAAAAAGACTACCTGATTTTTCCCCTGTCCATTTACTGAAATTAGCTTTCCATTGATTACATATCATTCGTTTATTATTATATGATTTATTTGCCATTGAATAAACTGATTCTAATACTTTTCTACGATGTTTATTTTCTTCTCTATCAAAACTTAAATTTTTCTCAAATTGAATACTACAACTACTGTTAATAACTAACAAATTTTCAACTATTTCTGATTATTAACATGATGATATGTGAGCATTACTCATATGTTGTTTGTCGCGTCTCTCAAAATCTTCCGTTTCTCCGGCATAGATTTTACAATCAGTTGGTTTCGAAAACAAATAGCACCAAATTACCTGTTGAATTTTCATTCGACTCACAATTCAGCAATCAAAAATAATATCGTTAAAAATATGACAAATCGTGTTTTAATAGCCAATAATGGTCATAAAAATGAAAAAGATTTAAGGCGCCACTATTCAAAGTTACGACACTATTTTATTTTCTCAATATTAACATATGCTTGGATACAGGAGAGCGAGCTGAATCCGAAAATCACCTTTAAAACCTTCCCAGGCCTATTCCTCACAGTGAAAAACGAAAAATACGGGAAGAATGCTAAAATCGAGAAAACTTACCCTTAGAGAAGAACGACGATAGTTTTTCTCATTACAGTTCGGAGCTTTGAAACATTTTTTTTCTGAATCAGCATTGCAAACTGCATATGCAAATGTGGTTTTGAACTTTTCGCATATTACGAAGCGGGTGGGAAAAAATTAATTTCTAAGGGAACTCAAAAACGTTGACGAAAAAGTATCATATTCGGAGTCAGCGTCTGAAACCGAGTAGAACGGCATATGTTTTGAAAGGTTTTGTTGATTTCACTTTTTGGTGAAAATCGCAGTAATTGTTCAACCTAAAAAATTCGAAAAAAACGAAAGTGGTCGGATAGGATAAAAAGGTACATCATTCGACTCGGTTTCGGACGCTGACTCCGAATATGATACTTTTTCGTTTATAAATAAAAATGTTGCCAAGAAAAACAGCTTTCGAGTGGTATATAATGGGTGTAATTAATTGTGAAATGGGACGACAAAACATGGTAAATACGATTTTCACTAGGTTTCGAGCCGAGGAAGTATTCAAGTGACAGAATTTCTTATGAGAAGTAGTTCTAAGATTTCGAATATGCCCAGTTCGACTCGCCTACTCACATTGTACCTACGCTATAAATAAAAATGAATTCGGTTAACGGGCCGTTTTTTTTTCATCACAAAATGGACCCCTCCTTTTCCTCAGAATCGAATCAACCTACTATCTATCTACCTACTTTAAAATTTCGACATACATCTGAGTTGAGTTGTTCTGAATGTGATCTTGAGAAAAATGCAAAGAAGTTGTTGATAAGTTGTAGAAGTAGAACTCTGATAATTTTTTTAGAAAAGCTTGATAGTGTTAAACTGAATTTTTGTCTTATTTTCTATTTTCTACATGTACATTGTGCAAGATCATGATCATGTACAAAGTAATCAGGCGCTAAAATTCTGAAGTAGTTTGAAATGATTTTGAGAAAACTCTTGGAATACTCACTGAAAGTAACCTGAAACTTCTAAAAAAAAGGTATCACTAGGTTTTACAGTATTTTCGGATTCACAAGCACTGCTACAAAATTCACCGTCGTCGATAATACATGTTCGTATCGTATATCTTAGAAAGTCAACTTGTTTCGGAAAATTAGTAAGAGTATGGTTTCTGTTTAACTTTTCAAGAAAAAATTGTTGAAAATCTAAAACACCTTTTACTAAAATACCCATAATACGAACAGGATAAGCTCGAAAATGTTGATACCAAATGTGTCTTGGAGACTGTGCTATTAATAAACACCTATGAATAAAGATAATTTTAATTATTTGTTAGTAACACAAGTCCTTTCACATCATCGTCCGTTGACTGTATTCGAATCGTTTGAAAATAACAGTTGCTGCAAGTAACCAAAGATCCACTGTAACGCGTTTGATATGATTAACGGATGAACTTATCATAATTAGTCATCGATATATATATCACACAATAAGACGAAAAACCGAACAATTTTGCGTAATTTTATTCCAATAATCAATCATTATAAAAAGTATTGTTCATTATCAACATCACTTTTGTATGATATAGTTCTGTTTATATAAAAATCTAACTATATTACACTATGCTTTCTAAAAAAGGCGTTTATTAGAAGACCAATTGATGGTAAACTAAAAAGGGTTGAATAATGCTTTCTAGAAACCTTAAAGGTTTTTTTATCATATGTCCTAAATTCTATTTAGTTATGAGAGTTTTGTTGGAAGCCCTAAAGCATGCGTCATCTCTTGAAAGTAACTTTCATCGGAACACTATTGCGTAGCTGCAAGATTTCTCGGTAACGAAACATCGCAGGTAGCTCGCGAAGGGCTTAAATTGAAGCTGACACATGTGGCTAGAGGCTAGTAGAGCCCGATTTTTGATATTCGAGCTAGATTTGTGGTTAGAAGAATATCTTTAGGCAATCTCCTAAAGTTTGATCAAGATCGGACTGGTACTTTCAGAGATAGGTTTCTGACGGGAAGAGGGAGGGCCTTGAGAAAAATATTTTCTTCAACCAAAAAACGGTTTATAAAAAGAACAAAATAGTTTGTTAACACTAGTCAAAAACTCTTTTCGTATTGTAACTGGTACTCATACTCAAGAAAGATTTTCTACGGACTATTTTAACTTAAATAATATTTCATATGCTCTTGGAGATTGAGGAAAAAAATGCGAAAGAAGACTGGTTAATTATCATTGTAAGAAAAAAAGTGATAAATAATCAAGCAAACAAAAGACAGAAGTGAGCTAAAATGTTGTAGTTCGAGTACTGAATAGATACACGTGTGAGCAGCTTACGAAAGGTTACTCGAATCAGAATAGATCAAAAAAAGAAAAGTGCATACTGAAAAAGTTAATAATGTGTACAAATCTATTAACTTATTTGGACATTAAACATACTCGTACTCATACTTGACTTGTGTTCAAAAAGGCTTATACTCACTCAGCTATGATACTTCGGAGCATGAAATAAGAATGAATTAATGATAAAAAATTATATTAAAACCAGAGGTGAAGCTATTGTTAAACTTTAGGTGTGCTTTTGTCTTCCTTATTACTAACTTATTTTAGATTTTCTTTTTATGAATACAATATACAACATTTATACACCTGTTTCATTTAAATTAAAAAAGAATGATGTTTGCATTCAACTGATAACAGGTTAACGTAATATTGGTTTTCGATCCACAGTCGTGCAATATCGTAATAGGAAGCAAAAAAAGAAACTGGTATTTGACAATAACAGATTTCACCTGTATCATGTCTTAGGAATACAAAACATACTTACAATAGCTGTAAGTGTTTGAAACATGTTTCATAATTTTTAAATCTAGCGTATTTTAAAATAATTTTTGTAAATTGCATTAAAAACAAGATCGAATCAGAATATTTAAAGCTTCATAAAAATTCTACTGTGAGGTAAAAACATGATTGTTTATTCACGTAGTTGTTAGAGCAAGATAAGAACACGCATTTTCTGTGGTACAGAATATATACGAATAATGTAAAGGAATGTAATATCTTGGTCAGCAAATGAAGGACAAAAACTTGAAGAAAAAGCGCAAAAATTTATTAATTTTCGATAAAACGGTACCCTTTAACTACAACGTTTTTGAAATTTTCACTTATTGTTTTAGTCATATGATTTTATCTCGTAATATATAAGAATTTTTGTCTTAAAGACGCATGTTGACACAGTTTAACTAAAGTACAGAAAACTTCGGTTATTTTACGAATAGTAGGCTGCAATACTACTACTAGTAATTTCTGACGTTCGCTCAATGACGATTTTTCATCGAAAGAACTAAATTTTTCATTTTTATGTACCGTTTCATCGTTTTTACTTTCTGGTATGGTGTAATTTTTGTATTAACATTTTGTCTTTCTATCGATAGTACACCAAATTTACAACGGGAATGGGTCTATCAGACTAGTTAAATATTTACGGAAAGTAAAGAACTTCAACTACTGTTGATGAATCACATTTTCTAAAATGCTCCGCATGACCGATCTCGAAATGCTCTCCACAAAAAAACACATTTATCTAGAAGAATCGTAATAACTCAACAACGAACTTTTAACTGAAACTTTTAGATTATATTTCCTACATGTAGTTGAAGATAATCTCTGTTCAGTTAAAGATTTCAAAATGTAATGCATTCTATAGATTTAAAAGTAAATGATCCATTCTGTAAAGCGCACGTCTCTCAATACATTGAAAATAAAAATTTGAATCGTCCTTTTTGCGCTCGATGGAACTAGGTAACGTTTGATTGTGTTTAGTACGTGTAATAGTGTCATCTACGAAGATCATTCTATTCGTTCGTCAACCTTAATAATCCAGTATACTATTTAGATAGTTGGTAATGTGAGATCATATAATATGTTTCTACAACTATTGAACTCAGATTATTTTTAGAGAGAAAATTTCAATTGGAAGTTCGTTGTTGAGTTATTACGATTCTTCTGGATAAACGGTTTTTTTGCAGAGAACATTTCGAGACCGATCCTGCGGGACATTTTAGAAACTGCTTCACATGTGATTTATCAATAGTAGTTTAAATTTTTTACTTTCCGTAAATATTTAACGATTCTGGTAGACCTACTCCCGTCGTAATTACTAATGGAATTAACCGTAGTCTAGTATGTCACACTGATACAACTACGTTTTGTAAAATACGTTGTGGAGCACTTGAATCATGAGCATATTTGTACGATTTGAACTAAGTATATAGAAAAAGAGACAGGCAAGTTGATAAAAGAAAATGATGGTGAAAATAAGTTTGCTAGTTTTTTGCTTTTTGTCTACGACTTTTTAAAAATAATGTAATCCCTCTATATTCTATAACCCTACAGACTGACATTTTAGAGACACGAATATCTAGGCAAGCTCTCATCAATAAATTAACTGATACAAATAACACATTATTATCTAGTACAACTCAATCTTTTTAATATCACAATGGCCTGTGAGAACGGTATGACGGACAACAATGTTTGCTTCGTATATCATGTGTTTATTTTTCTTGCATTGTTACTAGGTTTTGAAATATTCAGCGGATGTCTATCAAAGGATGGTTACACAGCTATATTTTTGACGAGTATAATCTTGGCTGGATTATCATTTATTATGGTTATTGTATGTATTACATTGAACTTCGAGTGTAATACACTTCAGTTATTCTTTTCATACAGATATTACTTATCATTGTTTGTCGTCGCAAATCAAGTAACGATTCAGATACAGATGGTGACTATTATCCCACTGATGATGAAGAGTCTGTTTCTGATTCCATTGTACAGCCAATTAAAAAACCGGACGTAAATTAACAAACTGCGACATCTCGTCAATTTAACGGATACGTTTTCTTTTTTTTCAGCACAAAAAAAGTCGAGGTAGTTGTCGATGAGTCGCTAATAACGACGTAAAAAAGAAAAAAAGCAGGAAAAAATTGTTTTATCCATTTTTAACTATGAGATACTTATATTTCATTTGTTTATAATTTTATTTAGACCCACCCAGCGCATCTCATCTACATCCATCACCGTATGGCATACCGATAAATCCAAAAACGCAACACCCGCAAGATGCCATGACAAGTATTGGAATTATTCCAATATCTAAGGAAAGCATGCAAATTAATGTAAATCCTCCTGCGTCGAGATACCCAGATTCTCGTAATTTAGTTTCTAACGAAACGGATGACTTTGCATCATCAAGATTTTAGACAAACGACTTTCAATTTTACAAAATACAGATTATTCTCTAAACGTTTCTCCGCGTTCTATCTATCTCTATGGTTTTGCAGCAATAAGTTAGCTTAGCGGTACTACCATCAGGGCTATCATAGACGGTGTAAGTGTCTGAAGTTTATATTATTAAAATATCCGTTGTAATAACAATAATAAGATATTGAAATGCTAGCCGGGACTAGAGTATTGTTATTTATTGAACTTGAATATTTCATTACCGATGCAAATTGACATCTGGTTTGCGAGACAGTCCATTAGAGGGAATCGAGGATTCTGCAAATACACAGTTAACTGTGCTCACTCTTTCCTCTCATTATCTCATCGGATAGTGTGTTCTAGTCAAATTTCATCCACAAACTTTCAGTTCAATCGCACTTGATTTCTCTGACCGATGAGGTTGTGCTGAAATTATAAAACAGTTTTTGGAAAAGTTCCGTCTTCAGTATTTTATACTGGTGTGTGGCGAATATACATTTTTTGAAAAAATTAAGCGTAACCAAATTAGAAAAGAGCAGAAAATAGTGAACAAGGTCTGACAACTCATTAGATTTTCAAATGCGAATTTCAAATGAAAAAAAGATTTTTGAACTTTTTAAACCACGTCTTTAAACACTTATGACAAGTTCATTTATAAGGCCATCATTTTCCTCTCATTTTCTCTCGGCACTACTCAGTTGCTACCCCTCCTCATTTCTTATGTTAAGAAGAAACTGGTGTCACTTGTTCTCATCGTCAATAAACGAACATTTTACTTATTTTCGTGTATTGAAAAGACTCTGTTCCTATTAGGCATGCACCAGTTATTAACTGGTGTTGGGATATCCGGGAGAACTGCTACAAATCAGTTATCACGATTCTCTCAGAGCTGCAAAACATCTAATTTTGTAGAAAAATGTTTGCTCTACAAAATGCATTTGTTAAAATAATTCCAGAATCATTTCTTAGAAAACTCGGAGTATTCAAAAATACATTAAATCACGGAAAATTAACTGTTCAAACAGTTAATTTTCCGTAATTTAGTACATTTTAGAATGCTCTAAGTTTTCTAAGAAATGATTCTGGAATTCTTTTAACAAATGCATTTTGTAGAGCAAACATTTTTCTACAAAATTAGATGTTTTGCAGCTCCCCAAGTGGTGCATGCCTAGTTCCTATAAGAAAATAAAGGCATCTTGCAATCTAAAAACATACTGTACAGAACAAACTCATATATTTTGAAAATATTATTCTACATAAAATGACGTATGTTTTAGCTTTTTTTTGTAAACTTCTTTACCGTATCCAAAAGTTGCCATTCGCCCCTTAAACAATTTTCACGGAAAAACGAAATTTATAAATGAAAGTTTAAAAATTAAGATATCAGACTTTGGCCGGTGTTTTTTCACTCTTTTCGAATTTTGTGATATCAACTTTTACCAAAAACATATATTTGCCGCTCACTGGCAACAGTAGAGTCCCAATGTTCAGATTTGTGAATGAGGGTCAATGGTTCCTAAAACTGCTCCAGAGGCAGTATGAAACCCTTTTTCTCACCCTGACCAGCAGAAAATACCAGAGATAACGCGATTTTCTAAGTACTATTCTAGGACTTTCACGATATGCTTTATCTATCAGTACCATTAAGCCGAAATTTTGGGAATCGGACCACCCAATGAGATAATAAAAACGACGGATGAGGATCAATTGTTTGAAGACTGTATATTTGAAGTTGTGGTAGAAAATCTTTTAATCACAGGTCTGATGAGCGTCGCTCCAGCCTATGTTTCATCTGAATTTAAGAACATCTCTACTTTCTGTCTAACATTACAATACACAGATTACAAGGTAGACACAGATTAAGCAAACTATATAAGGCGCAGCTAATACAAAAATCGAGCAAAAGCTTTCTCTGAACTTATTATACACCATTGGATAGAATTTTTTTAGCTGATCACACTGAAGAGTGCAGAATACGGCAGTTTATAAATATTTATAACTCCCAAGTTTTTTCGGTCAATTTTTTCCAGCGGGAAACCGTTTATAAACCAATTTATAAATAAACGTTTACAAAGCGATTTATAACTATTTCAGATATTGCTCAAACCATTTCGGACTCGTTAGTGACTGATCAAGAATATGAAATTTTTAACTTTTCGAAAAGTTTTTTCATGTCGAAAAAACGAGAAAACTCGAACGACCTCAAAACTCGAAAATAAACGATGATGTTCAAAAAAGTTAGATTTTTAAATTTGGGTTTTTGGCTGGAACGTTCAAATTATTTTTTTCTTATTTAGCGTTGAAAACTGAGTTAAAAAATAATATTAGATTCATTT